GACCCCTAGAGAGCATTCCTACGGGCGAAGGCAGGGATGCGGAGACATGCGTGCCTTCGGCAGAAGGAGCGAACAGGTTGGCTTCGGCGGAACCAGAGTGGGAAGATGTAGCAGGTCCACGTGGGGCAGGTTCTTCCACCCCGTTGGAGGTACTAGCAAGGCATGAAGTGGAGGCCGTAGCAGAGGAGGCTGGGAGGCCCAGTGCTAGAGAGTCGCCTAGGATTGCGGTAGCGAAAGAAATCCTGGAGTCAGAAGAGGACACGCCTTTGGAGGAAGAGGAGGTGCAGTTGGTGCGAGGTACGCCAACCAGAGTGCTTTGCGAGCAAGTGGTACCGCTACTCCGGTACCTTGATCGCAAAGTGAGCAAGTAAGGGGATCCCCGCCAGTGTGGATCCTATGTTGAGCTGGTCCGAAATCGGACGCGGATCAAAGTGGCGGCGAATCCTGAATTGATTGTCCTGGACCACAAGTATCGGCAGTTGGAGGAGCGCTATAACTTTCTGCAGGATCAATGGGCCTTAGCTCGGAAACTGCAAAAGGCGGCGCTGAAGCTACAAGATGAGATGGTAACAAATGCGCAGCGCGAAATTGATGAGCTTTGTGCGAAGGTCTAGACGGACTCTAGTGTCGAGCAAATTCAAATCCGCAATCTGGCGGATGAGCTCGTGCGGAAGACGCAAGCGTTACAGTAGAGCGAGAACACGAGAAGGATGGATGAGGAGTTGCTCGGTCGATTGCAGTCGCAAAGCGAAGAATTGAGGGCGCAGCGGGTTGCGGCGGAAGAACAGTTAGCCGAGGTGCAAGACCACAACCGGCGCGCGACAGATCGCACGCTGGAGGAATTAGTTGTGCGGGTTGACCGATGTCTAAGGGGTTATGCTCGCTGGGAGATCGCGACTCAGGAGAGGTTGACGTTGCGCGAACTCGAGATGCGCACGACAGCTTTGATGGCTGGCGACGGGCGAAGTCGGCGGCGAGTGACAAAGCAGTTGGAATCGTTTCTGTCCAGGTCGCGGGACACCATTGCGAACCTCGAGGCGGAGGTGACTGAGGTGTTGAGGCGGTTATGGCTACATAGGCGAGCAGACGAGTGGACCGGTAGGAAATTAATGGGTCGCAGGCCGATTCATAGGAGGCATAGTCGATGAGGTAGAATGAGGTAGAGTTAGGATTTTAGAGTGTATAAAGTAGTCCAAGGCGTTGGCCTTGGGGTATTTTCTAGTTTCGTGAGCTCAGTTCAGGAAATCGTTTTCTCTGCGTGTTTGTGTCCTTCGTTCTGTCACCACGCAAGAGTAGCTATAGCTTGTTGAAGTTACCGCATCTTATAGCAAAAGGCCTTCGTCCGAGCGTTCTAAGCTAGCGTAGACTAGTCCGGATTTAAGCAAGTTCGGATTTACACCTTCAGATGTTTTTCCCTGTTTGTACTCCTTCGAGATTTTCCCCTGAATACCAAAGTAGGGTTTTGTTAACTTCAGAGTAAGGATTGGTTGAGTTCAGGTTGAGTGTGTTAAGCTGCTTCAGGTGTCTTCGGGGTAGCCTTCGCAGTATTTCTCGGAATGACAGTTTCCTGAGAATTCAAACTCGTCAATAGACTATTAAATCGTAACCCTGGATCTTTTTTCAATTTAATTTCTCAGTTCAGACTTCTGTTCTCTCTGCGCGTTTTGCGAGTTGAGTGTGTTGTTCACCGCGTAAGAGTGACTTCGGTTTGACGAAGGTACCGCATCCGAAGTAGGAATCCCAACCCGAATGTTCTGTACTAGCAGTTGGCTAGTGACATGGCTTAAACAAGTTTGGAATTGGTACCTACCTGCAGATCCTCTGAGTGTACTCTTGGGAAACTCCCCCCCCTGAATCTTAAGTGGAGGTTGTGATCGACCTCTGAGTTGTGCATTTACAGTTTCAGGTGTGTGTTTAGGGTGTACTACGCTGCATTGTGTGTCCTCCGAGTGACCTCCGAGTTGAACACTTGCAGTATTTCTGGAAGTGACAGTAGCCTGAGAATTCAAACTCCTCAATAGACTGTTAAAACGTGACACTTTGTACTCTGTGTGTTGTTTCTGTCCATGTGAGTTTGATCCTTTGCTGTTATATTGCAATTTATCATTGGTTGGGTTATCAAAGGATTTGTTGTGGCAGAGCGATGTGAAAGCGGTTGTGAATTGGATTCGACATAAACAGTTGGAATCATTCCATGAAGGTTTTAAACAGATTCAACAGTTGGAGTCATTGCAAGAAGGTCTAAATAGCGTGAACAATGATTTGACTCAGTCGAACCCTGAAGGTAAAAATAAGATAAGCTACTCGAATCTCCCCGAAATGAAAGACTACAAACCATGTACATCGAAGTGGTTGAATCAAGCAAGGACATGTGTGGAAAATAGTTCAATCCGAATTGTTCTAAGATTGGAGATATAGATATTGGATATGGAGATGCAGAGTTTGGAGATGATGGAGATGAAGATGGGACAGATACTCTCTCTGCAGAGAGAGTCTCTGCTGCCGCAAGAACTGCAGAGAAAGCACTTAGAGTTGACTACAGCAATGCTGAGTGCTTTCAATTCTAAAGTGGACGGTATTATTGACTATTCTCTGGCGTTTCAGAAGGCAAGAACGCTCAAGTGTCCTTATGTTATGGACGATGTTGGCGTTTTCTATAGGATGAGTTCACTTCTGCACGGTTCTCTCGGCATGCAGATAATTGTTCGCTTACACTTGATGTGTGAGTCGGTGACTTGGTTTCACATAGTCAAAGGTTAAGAAGGTTTGAGGATAAGGTTGTATGGGGGAATCTCAAGTGGCTTGGGAATATTATTGAAATCTCATGCAAACTAGTGTATTAAGCTGTGAAGGCTGGACTGGAAAGGACCCTCAGTTTGAGCCAAGCGATTCTGGACCGGAAAGATTTAGAATTATATATTGTTAAACCAGATATCATTAGCGATCATGATTTTAGGGCAGTTCGAAAAGGTGGCGAAAGCATGGAGCGCAAAGAAGCATGGCTGAGGGTTCAGCAAACTCTTGCGCCTCAGCTTCGAGATAGCTATTTGGCAATCTTCAAGTTGTATCAGGTGAAATACCTGAGTCTAGAATTAGGTGGGCATGCATGGGTGTGCAAGGAGTGCATGCATAAAGGTCTAAGTTGGGGAATTTTGACAGTTGAGGATACGCCATGATGAGCCATCATCATGGCGTATTGAGAGCACACAAAAATCGCCTGGGCCCTCCTATATTCTCGGAGAGTGCACGCTTATGAAAGCACCCGGGGCCACTTCAACTTCTTCAGAGCCCAAATGTCTCAAGTCTTCATCGGCGATCCGGATGCAGTAGAAACTTGATATGTACTAAATATACTAAACTTGATATGTACAGTTTCGCTTCCAGGCGAAACTGGCAACTCGATAATCCCTGAGTTCCGCAACGCTTTGGTTTCTTCTGTGACCAGACTGGAATTCCACTGAATTGCACACTACAACCAGATCAGCTAAAAATATATAGCCTTAAATCTTCTGTTCGTGCTCAGAATAAGGTCGGATTTAGATTGAGGCTACTGTAAGAACGTACCGGCATATCTTGAGAGGATGGGAAGGATTTGGAGCTCATAGTAATCCAACTGCTTACATTGAACTTGATCATCTTGAGAATCTAATGAGGAGCTTCAAGGTTTACGTAGCTCGGTCTTAGTGGAACCTGCACTGTTTCCATGGAGCCCTTTGCGTACTCAGGATCTTAAAACGGCGTGCTCTGCAGAAGGTCTGATAGTCTCTCACCTTTTAAGATCGCTCAGCGATGGGCCCCGCTCTCGACCGCTGCGATTTTTTGCACCTGCATCGTGTTGATCACTGCAGCTCGAAGATCAGTTACAAATATCATTGTACAGATTATGTTCATTTACCGTTCTCCACACCTGCATCAAATCTTTAGGTTTATGAATGGGGGAACTAGCATTGGTTCCAGGAAGATGGAGTGCGATAAACGTGACACGGTCGTATATCTCAATGTAAAGCGTTTGCTATTATAACCTTCCTTCATAGTAAATTGTTGAGGTGGGATATTGTTGCTAATAATTAAGGGATTGGACCTTCAACTAATCAATTTTATACCTGTCATCACTGTCTAGACTTTGGAGCTGCCTAGACTCAAACTTCGAGCTTCCTCAGACTGGGTCAAAACTTAGGAAAGAGCACCAGGATGAGGGCTTCTAATCCGAAGGAGTTCATGAGTCGATATCTTCGAAGAACCTAATACTGTGACTCACCGGAGTCGTGCTTATGAAGCGGATGGACCCCAGGAAAGTCATGGATTTCAGACTTAATTGCTGAATCAAGCTTTGCGTTGGACACGAAAGAATGTCATACTGCGCCATCAAGAATTGTCTATGGGAATTTCATGATTGAGATCGCAATATTGATTTCGGTACAACGAGGAGTGCTTTCATTGAGCTCTAATAAATTTAAAACCCCTCGAAAGAGAGAAAATCTGAGAATCAAAAGCTGTCCAATTTGCTCTTAGAGTATTCCATTGCATCTCGCCTTCATCGGTTGAGAAGACCCAGACCACCACAGCAGTAAACTACCTCGAGAGCAGATTAATGACCACGACTGACAAACATAGCTCTTATCATAAACGTACCTGGCTCCGGTCGGATTTTTTATGCATAAACTCAGCTACGACTTGTCATTCCATCTCACATCATGTGGAAATGACGCGACTCAAATCAAAGAGAAGTTTGGCCGAAAGATGGGCTGTCTACCGCATGCGATATAGTATTCTTTTGACGGTGTTTTTCGTAGAAAAGATGCCAATTGATAGACACCTCCTCAATGGCCCATTATAACTCTTGACCAATTTATTGATCTCTCAATGAACCATTCACAAGGACCTGTATGGCCGGAACAGAATCCACGTCACCTATATTGCATATTCTGACACGACATACTTGTGATTTCCTTTTGCCTGCAGGATTCATGTCCTTCAGACGATCGTCCAGGGAAACTGGCTAGCTGATACGTTTCCATTCGCCTGTGCAAGACATGTTTGCAACTCTGCTCTCCTGAGATAGATTCACTCGAAGACTGTAGTAGGCAAAGTTCATGCTTCTCTTTAAAATAGTAGGCAGGGACAAGAAGAGCATGCAATCTGTGTGACTGAGGCCCAAGTCCAAGGACATGAAACGCATCTGTCTGGTGTCATCGAGTTCATTCACAGTTCCGAATCCTCAGGCCACGACCTTGACTTTGGCCTGAGGAGCGAGATGCATCATGAAGCAAACCCAGAGATTATATGCAAGACGCAAAACGCTGAACAAACGTATACCCGATTCGTGTGGATTGAAGAGCAAATAGAAGAAAGTACTAGCTAACAGAGGCTTCCCGCCTTGTCGGGTCTTACTGATTTGGACACTAAACTTTTATAACTAAGAGGAAGGAACCCGTTAGAACTTCAGACTGTAAGAGCATAGACTGCCAGCTAGTTATCCACGCCCGGCTAGCACTTGGTATAAATGGCCATTACTGAGTCCAAAGTGCTGATTATTGGTGCCACCGGTTGCATTGAGAAGAATGTGTGCAATGCCAGTGTAAAACAAGGGCATCCGAATTTTATACTCGTTCGATCTCTCATCTCTGCCGATCCTGTCAAGGCCGAGCTGATAAAGTCATTTCAGAAATCTGGAGTCACTGCTCTCAAGGTACTGTATATCCCTGCTGCCGAATGGTATTGACAAAGTTCTTACCTGAGTTGGAATGTAGGTCAAAGCGCTTCAAATTTAGCCTCTAGACCCACAGAGCTACAAATTCTTTCGTATCCTTCAGAACGTACTTACGCTGAAAAGAGATCGCATGTCAGCGTTTTGTGCGCACGTCCATCAATTGGTACTTACGTTTGTAGTCGGTGTTTCGTATACTTCATCCAGCATCTGTGAGGTTGTTATGTCATGAACTGGACACAAAACAGAGTAGTGAAATATTTCCAGTGAGATCTAAATATGGCTTCGAGACGGAAATCTGATACTGGCTTACATTCTCCCCAACATCGAGTAAATTGTTAGCATTGCCACCGTTCATTCTCCCTGTTATTCATTGATTGAACCCAGTGAGTCTGGTTCACGATAAAGAACCACCTGAATCACGGCTTCTATTGAACTCTTCAAACCTTCAAACTCGACAGTTCTGATGTTCAGTGTACGGCTCCTACGCTGGTCAAACCGCTGGCTGGGAGGTCTTGACCGAACTGTCTTCTGCATCCAAATGGAATGTTCAATTCTCGGTCATTAGATCGTTAATCGTACACATGACAGTGAGACCGGTGTCGAGTGTCACAATACTTTCTGTGCCACAAAGTCTGAACAATTGCTTACAGGTTCAACCAAACAAACATAAATTGTCTCTAAATATCTGAATGTAAAACATTTCCCTTCGTCCCTAGACAGAATAGGAAATTCAGAGAAAATTCTGCTGCAATTGACATTATGGCGACCATAGATTACTGTCTCAGACACGTCGTGTTTAGGACTTCGTTCGTGCTTCCTTCCTTGAAACCCATTTTATGGATGATACATCACTCAGAGTTGCAATGGAGTTGAGATCAGTTCGCAGTATTTTACCTCAACTGTTGCAATGGACGTGTAAGCGGTGTAGTGGTTTTCAGTGGACATAACTGCGAACCTTAACCACATAATTTTCAAGGTTGTCTATAATGTATTCCAATCAGGGAGACCTAAACGATCACGAGAGTCTGGTGTCCGCATTCCGTCAAGTGGATGTGGTGATCTCGACTGTGGGTGGAGCAAGCTTGGTCGATCAGATCAAGATCCTCCAGGCCGCCACGGAAGCCGGAACGATCAAGGTGAGTTGCCAGGCCTCCTATATTTCTGTCTGCCCAGCTGTCTATTCAACAGAAGTTCCTTTTGAGGTTCAAGCTGCCTGAAGTTGTTGCGAAAGCCATTCCAAGACCTTTCTGTTTTATAGTATCTGGCATCTTCAAGGAGAAACCCCGACCCTTCCTCTTCAGATCAAATAGATGAACGAGGAAAATCATCTCGAGCGTTCTGCCATCACCGTTTCTGCCATCGGTCCTGAACGCCATGATTATAATTTTGCTAACTTATCTGGGAAGCTCACGTGGGAATTAAAGAGTGCTGGATGGATTTACTGCTGCAGAGGTTCTTGCCATCAGAATTCGGCATCGAAGTCGACAGGTTGGAGCTGGAGTTTAAAGTGACGGATGGTCTGTTCGGAGACAAACGAAAGGTCAGGCGAGCAATCGAGAAGTCTGGGATACCGTACACGTACGTGGCTGCTGGTGCCTTCGCAGGTTGATTCCTGGCAACTTTACGTCAAGAGAATACCAGGACACCACCGCGGGACAAAGTCACTATTTGGGGAGATGGAAACACTCGAGGTAAGTAGGATAAACGTGATTTCTTTTCCCCGTCGGAGGGAGCCATCTAATCATGAATGAAAATTCTATGGACTCATTCCATATATTATTTGCATGATGGTAGCTATCCTGAACGACGAGGACGACATCAGAACCTTCACCATAAAAGCCGTTGATGATCCTCGCACCCAGAACAGGATCCTCCACATCCGACCCAAGGAGAACATCACCAGTCAGAATGAGGCTATCGCTCTATGGGAGAAGAAGATCGGCAAAACCCTCGAGAAGACCATCGTCCCCGAGGAGAAGTTGTCGAGTTGATCGAAAGTACGGACCATCCCGTCCAAATCCAGCTGCAGCTGCTGGCTATTTGGAAAGTTTTTTCTGTACAGGATCGAAACACAATGCTGCGCTTTCTGATTCTTACGGAAGATCTGAATTCTACGAATCGGTTGAGATAGTCTTCAGCCCTGAAATGAGGTGAGGGAATTCTCATCTGATTTGCCTCGTATTCGAATGGACTTTGTGCAGACTCGTTATTTCCCTTGAATTTCCCGTGTGAGAATCTCCAAAGACTAAAATTTTTGGATTAGCCTAAAACCGAAACTAAGAGTTCTAATAGTTTTCTTTTTTTTTAGTTAAGGAGTTAAAAGTATGCTAGAAATGATCCGCTTAGTTAGTTACACAAAACCGGATCGGTACTAGTAGTTAAAAGTGTTAAGTATCTGTCACCTCTTCGGTCCCGAAAAGTCAACCGAGAGAATTCAGCCACAAAGTCAGGAACAAGGATAAGAAAATGGAGCTGAAGCCGACGATCAAGTAGGTGGTACAGACCTGATTTTTGGATTAACTCGAGTAAAAGTAGGATCTGACATACTGATTTCTCTCAGTGATAGGATTGGAAAAGTTTTAGGAGTTAGGGTTTTTGAGTGAGTTTCTCAGTGAGTTTTCGGCGCCTCCGCTTGTGTTTGACCTCTACTTATTTAAGTGGAGCTTGCGAGTACTGCCGTGTCTTTGTTCTTACATGTTTTCTTCCTAGATTCCTTATCAGTTTACAGTGCTATGTTTTTCTAAGCTGCTGTACCTCTGGCTTCCTGTCTGAGTGTTGTCGATCTGAGAGAAGTGAGACTCCATTGCAGACCAGATGTGAAGGTGATGGAAGCTGAAAGGCAAGACCCTGATCAATCTAGACTCCGAGATTGAGTAGTGGATTCGCTGGCGTGTTGTGGAAGTTCAAGCGTCATCTTTTGGTTCTCTAATATTCACAGGGAAACACTGTCTGTAAGGTTAGAGCCGACTGAGGGATACTCAGGTTAGACTCACCTGAACTTGTGAAGAATTTTTGTCTACAGTGAGACAAAGCAGATTCGGAAGTGGAACTTGTCGTCCAAGGATCGCCAAAATCTAGCTCTCACGGATCGGATTGGTTTGTCGTTGTAGCCTCATGCATCTGAAAGTGCTCACTTGTGTGACCTGCTAGCCAGAATATTCTAGGTTAGTTGTGAAGTGATCTCTTACTGATCTACGTTGGGGTTTTTGTCATCTGAAAGAGAGAATTAAATAGAATATGAGAGTATGATTATGAGCAGTTTCTGACCTAACACTAACGAGTCCTTGGAACGATACTCGAAGTCACACGGATAGGACGAATATAGGCTTGTTTTCTTCTCCACTAGAAGATAAACAAGTTTCCGTGTTCTGACATCCCGCACGCTTTCAGATACTGCATCTTCGTGAGGGGCAAGCAGCAGCACTAACATTTTCTCCTCTGAACGTAAGAACGATCAATCTTATTTCTGTCTGAGATCGATTTGACAGTAACTCAAGTCACTTGAAGTGGATAGAAAATCCATCGTTCCGTCCCTGTCCTTGCCAGGAAAAATGTGGAGTTATGCTAGAAGTAAGTAGGGAGGAAAGTCGATGGCGGCCGTGCGACTGACCTTTGGGCGACATGGGACAGTTGTTGGATGGATCAATCTGGATGAGTAGAACTAAGGAGACGAATCGTAGTGCAGTATTAGAGAACAGAGCAGAAATTTGGCGCGGCGAGATGTGGACACTCAGAATGACGTCTCAGTGAGAATCATGAACGGGTAGCAAGTAGCATCTAGACGCACGCATGATTGAGAAAAAGAGTTGACATGATGCATGGAGGAGACTCGGACTACAAGTTGAGGGCCCGCTGGCGAGGTAAGCTAGTGTCCGCCCTTCTCCTGGTTTGGTCAGGCTGTAACATTTTAGGCTTTCAAAAGGAAATTCACGAGTCTTCAATAATTGAAGAACGCACCAAGCGTGCCTGCAACTCTTTGGGATCTGTTTTTGTTCCGAGACTCTGTTGTGCTGAGATACACGTGGTTTGGAATTTTGATGCTGCTGGCTTGCACAAAGATTGTTTCATTGTCGATCATGATCGGGACTCCGAGTTTTCTGGCTCGTACATGCTTGCGCATATTCTGGAAGGAATATGATTTCAAACTGGAAATTAGTTCTACGTTGTGTTTGCATCGAGGGCTCGTTGTGTATATCTCATGCTCGAGGATACTCGCCATAGCCAGCGCTGGCTGCCCGGCTCCATCAACTTGCGTAGTCGTGGTTGTGGACCACTCCGACTCAAGCTCATCGGAACTCATTATTAAGAAGGATACCAATCCAACCACCAACTCTCAACTCAGCTCTAAACTTTCTGGAGACTTCATACTTCTGCTTCTTAAATCGTAGTGCGTCCGGGATAAACGAGTACCTTCGAATGTCGAATGCATATCATGAATGGAGCACGTGTCCACGGGCATTTGTGCAAGCAATTATTAGGAAGAATTGTTTGGAGTCTGAAGTCAAGCTCAAGGGAACAAATAACTGAACTTCCAAACTCCTTGTCTCTTTCTCGTCCGTCTCGTCACTCGCAGACTGACGAAGGTTTTGCACCTCGGAAGCCGTATGTAGCAGTTTGAACTATACGCCGTATAAACTGTGTCTACCATTGAGTCTTAGTTGAGTTTGCGTCTTATTGTACATCACATCACGAGAAAGCGAGGAGATGAAAGAAGCATCGTTGAGGATTCAGGAAACTCTTGCGCCTCATCTTCAAGGT